GTATTTTATCCTCATACTCGTGCTCTATGTCCTCCTGTCGTTTACGTAAAGCATCCCTACAATGATCCACTAATAACATGCACATATGATCCAGAAGTGCATATACATGTACATGCATGCATGTACAACAAAGCATTAGTAGATTTCAAGGCTCCATAATTATTATTATTATGAATTTTTTTCTTGGTACATAATACATGTACATGATTGATATTTTTATTGCTACCTTTCTTGTTCCAGTGTCTGTATCAGTGAGTTTGAAGAAGTGTTCATTAATGGGCTGGAAAAGAAAGAGGGTGAGTTAAAATACACAATGATACACAAATTACCTCCAGACAGCTGAAGCAAATGAGCCATTGGAAGTGTTGTTATTTGTTCCCTAAAAGCACAAAATGAGTTACTAGTGATAGAGTAGTGGTATATGGTCAATGAAGTATGTAAGAATCATCTTGGTTGTAATACTAAATACAATATGTGATCTCACCATTGGTGATGCTTCTTCTTTAAGTTTCATAGCTTCCTGAGGATTATTAAATCTAAGATAAGTATTACTGCCCAGCTTCAATGTATCACCTATAGTGAAAATAATCAATATTGATAATAGTCCTAACTCCTAAGGCATATTGACAGTCAAAGCTACATGCATGGTAACAGCAGAATATTATTATAATCTTTTATTAAATAGTGCATTACTTACTGTGCGACAGTTTTACAGGATCATCCTGTTCAACTGGTATTTGATTGACAAAAGATAGGCCATCAAGTTTGTGAAGGTAGACGGACTCTCCATAATCCAACAGTGTAATCTTGCAATGAAAATTAGCTATACTCTCAGATTTAAAACCTAAAAGAGAGAGAGGTTGATAAAAAGAAGCTACAAATAGACAATAAAAATCTACAAAAAGTTGAGGCTACAAGATAATTTTAGAGCAACTTTAAAAATTTGTAGAAAATTCAATTTTGATCTGAATCAGCTCAAACTTTCTATGCAACATAAGAACATGTATATGTACCAAAAACAATTATAAAAATGGAGAATTCTCTCCTTTTAATTTTTCGTAAAATTTGGCTAAAATCCCTGTACTATAGTACAGGGACTTTGGCCCGATTTTGGAGCAACTTTAAAAATTTGTAAAAAATTTTAATTTGATTGGAATTAGCTCAAACTTGCTACACAACATAAAAAACATGTATATGTATCAGATAAAATTATAAAAATGAAGAATTCTCTCCAAGTCATTTTTTGATGAAAATACCATCACTTACTGATATCATTCTCGATGGGGGCATCAACATGTCCAATAGTAGTATCACCGCTCTATAATAATAATCATACATGCATTATAATAATAATATTAACAGTTCATACTTTTAAATAGTAGAGTACTACCCCGGCACCAAACCGATCTTCATCCACCCCCAGCAAGTGAGGCTGCTCAGAAGCAACTGTCATTTTCACTCCTTCACTTCTCAGTGCTAGATCACGCTCCTATAGTGACATACAGTACATCTCAAACCCACTCGTGCAGCTGTAATAATTACTTCAATAATCTTTTGAATGTCTCCCCATTTCCCTGCCCAGCTTCTTGTAAGGGATTGGATCTAATGGTGGTTGGAATTGACACAGTGTAGTGAAGTAATTGTATTAACTAGATGTACCTTTTCCTCTTTGTTATGCAAATCCACTGCTAAGTGTAGTGTGCTCTCCACGTCCTATAGATGATGGGATTAAGATAAAGAGCATGTCTTCAATGTACATACTGTGTTTGAAATGATGCCCATCAATCGTTTGATTCTTCACGTAATCTCTAATA